CGCAGCTCTCCCCGCCTGGCCTGGCCCGCGGCGTCCCCGTCCCTGTGACGGGCGGCAGCGGCCGCGCCTCCCGAGAACGGAGTGGGCGATTCCTTCCCACTCCGTACGGATGCGGACACGAGGCCCGGAGCGGCCCAGTAGCTTGCTCACGGTCACCTGCCCGTGGAGTGGCAGAACCTACGTGTGTGGGGCCTGCCCGGGGGTCGTGGGGGGTCGTGTTTGATCTGGGAGGCTCTGGAGTGCCCTTGTGGGACCGCTGCCCTCGGGACGCCACGGCCACTGGGGCCTGGCCACGCGGGCCTGCCCAGGTGGCTGAGAGCGGCGAGTGAGCCAGGTGCTCAGAGCTGGGGCCACCCAGGCACGTGGGCAGACCAGGATCCAGCCCTGCCCGAAGGGGACGCACCAGTTTGCTCTGGTGTCTTGGGGCTGCGTGTGTGGGGTCCCCTGGTGGGAGAGCAGAAGTGCGGAGGTCCTTTGCTGGCCCGGTGCCTGCCCAGCGGGCCTCCCAAGGAGGGTTTGGTGTGAGTTCTGTCACCTGCGTGAAGGCACAGACTCGAGGCTCCTGAGCACCTGCTGCGTCCAGGTGTTGGGCTGAGCAGCCAGGAAAGCAGACACCAGCCCGGTCTCCCTGCACCTCACTGTCAGGGGCAGTGCGGCCCGAGACGCACTGCCCTGGGTTTTTAAAAAGTTCACAGAAGATTGAGGACCTTGAGGGAACCCAGCAGGTTGAGCGAGGGCAGGGCAGGGCAGTGCCCAGTCCTGGCTGGACAGAACAGAGCGGCCGGGGAAGGGTGCAGGGCTGCTCTGTGGCATGCAGAGCCCGGAGGCTGTGTAGGGCGTATGTGCTGCCCTCTGAGTGAGCTGGGGCAGCCGCTGGGACTGGAAGGGGCAGATTAGAGTTGGGTTTTAAAGGATTGCGGGGGAGTCTGCGGGAGACGAGGGGGCTGGCCGGGTCCTCTCTGCTGACTGTCCAGTATTGTTGCCACCAGCCATAGGGGCTACTTAACTTTAAGTAAAATTAAAAATCGAGGCCCTTGGTTGCACTAGTCCCATTTCCGCGGCTCAGTAGCCCCATGTGGCCAGCGGCCACTGTGCTGGGCGGCTCAGAGAGAGAACATTTCCATTCTTGTATCAAGTTCTGCTGGGCAGTGTGGTCTACACTGCCTGGTGCACTCTCTCTCAGGGTAAAGTGGGGGAGATCAAGGAGGACCCCAGGTTTTTGGCTCGATCCGTGTGGGATGCTGCTCACCAAGGTGGGGGATCTAGAGGGAGGGGCTGGGTGTGGCCTGGGAGGAGGAGTCGCGTGGCTGCGTCTGCTGGTGCTGGTTTCTAACTTCGGAAGCGTGTCAGCCTGCTTGGTCCTGTCCCCAAAAAGAGATCGTAATCCTCCTGCCCCCTAAACCCTAACAGAAACAGGCGACAGAGTGGGCTTGTCACTGTAAACTTTAGGTGTAAAACTTTGAAGGCCGGTTCTTGCCCTGCTACTGAGAAGTACGTGACTTCTATGTCTTTGTGTTTTAGGTATCGAGAACCTTCCGTGTGAACTTCAGAGGAACTTCCAGCTGATGCGGGAGCTGGACCAGAGGACGGAAGGTGGGTTCAGGCCTGTCAGTGTAGTCAGGACTGGGCTCTGACAGCCGGGCCGGCAGCTCCCCAAGGCCAGGGGCAGAGGCCGCAGGGGGATGTGTGGACAAGGAAGGCTTTGAGGGGCCCTGGTGTAGCAGGGCTGCAGCCTGGCCCTGGGCTGTGGGCATCACGCAGTGTCTTGGAGAGAGTGCTGGTACTTTTAAAATCAAATTTAGTTTCCTGGATTCTTACACATCTTCATGTCACATTTTTATTTCCAGTCAAAATATTTGTTGCTTTTTTGTTTCCTTTTAAAATTTTTCTATTTTCAAAGTGTGTTATTAGTTTAAAATGTTAGATGGACTTTTTGGCCTCTTGGTATTTAATTTAACTCCCTGTTTCTAAACAACATATTTTTGTTGCTAATTCTTTTTTCTTTTTTAGAGATGTTTGGAGTGCAGTGGTGTGATCATAGCTCACTGCATCTCTGAACTCCTGGGCTCAGGTGTTCCCTTTGCTGCAGCCTCCCAAGTAGCTGGGACTGCAGAGGCACTTCACTGCGCCTGGCTAATTTTTAAATTTTGTAGAGACGGGTCTTGCTATGTTGCTCAGGCTGGTTTTGAACTCGTGGGCTCAAGCAGTTCTGCCTTGGCCTCCCAGAGTGCTGGGATTATGGGTGTGAGCCACCATGCCCAGCCTGCTAATTCTTATTTCATTTCCTGTCAGTTTGGACTTGACTTATTCTTGTGTATTACGCCAAGTGAAGATGTGTTTTTCCAGTTGCCTCCGGCCAGCCCATGCACACACACCCCTCCTCTAGTCTCATGTGTAGTCTGTTAGAGTTGGTGGTGAGACCAGTGCTGGTGTTCCTACCCGGGTGGCCATACGGGTAGTTTAAAACTGAGTCATGTGACCTTTTTGAATAACTTCATGTTTTTCTTGGAGTTACTAATTAACTGCCTTGTTTGTTGGCTTTGTTTTCCATATTCCACCCTCCCTGTCTCCCGCCTCCAAGGGCTTTTCCTTGTGGCCTGACCATCAGGTTACCTCCAATTCCGTGTGTGCTGTTCATGGAGCCCTCTGTGCCAATTGTGTCTAGGCCCGCTGCACAGTTTTTGCCCTGAGACTTTCCTGGGATCTCCCTTTACCCCTTTTCGGTGTGGGATCCTGTACCCTGGATCTTAAATATCCTCTTTTTTTTATTTGCTCCCTTGTTTTGGTGGAGCCTTTCCTCTGGTAGCTTCCTGAAAAAAGGTACACGGAAAGATACATTTCTTGTAACGTTGCATGTCTGAAGTGTGTTTGTTGCAGCCTCGTATCTGATTGACAGTTTGGCTGGGTATAGAGTTCCTCGCTGGCAGTCATTTTCTCAGTGTCAAAGGCATTGCTGCCCCGTCGCCGAGCTTCCATGTTGCTGTTGAGAAATAGTATGCAATTTCCTTTATACATGTGGTCTGTTTTATTTTTTTCTTATTCAGAAGCTTTTGGTACATTCTCTTTATCCCTGGGTTTAGATTTTATAATGATGTGTTTTGGTGTGGGAGGTTTTTCATTCATTATGTTGGGCCACTTTTGCAGGATTGGGGTAGCTGAATTTTTTACGCAGGTCCAGCAGCTTGAGTAGGGAACATAGAGACTTATTTTTATTTGTGAACTATAGCATATCTTCATAAATAAGCATAAAATGTTTATAGATTGCTTAACAGAAATTACCAGGTGAAGCTGTTTCTGCTGCTCAGATGGAGAAACCCTAGAAGCCTCTGTGACTCTCCGAGTCACAACACCCTCCCCTACCAAGGGCCACCACCCTGAGTTGGTGATAATCCTTCACCACCTTCAACAATAGTTTTCTCACCTCTCTAAACCAAGGAGTTAAGAGTTGTGTGTTTCTACCCTCGGTTTTAATAGAATCCTACAGTTTGTTTTCCTTTATGTCTTGCTTTTTTGCGCAGTATCACCTTTGTGGGATTGAGCCACGTTGATGTGTGCAGCTGTAGCTCGGTCTTTGTTGCTGGGCGGCATTCTGTTGTGTGAGTGGACCACAGCTTATTTGTCAGTTTTACTGTGGATTGGGCGTTAGGGTTGTTTTCTGCTGTTACGAATGTTTTCCCATGTGTATCTCGGTGCCTAAGTGCTCCGATTTCTTTGGGGTACATAACCAAGAGTAGTATGCCAGGTCATAGGTAAGGTGACCCATGATTACTTACTCACACGGTGCATGAGACTCGAAGAGGGCACTGTCACCACTCGCTGCACAGCAGCCGTAAGTGGGAGGCCCTGGGCAAGGCGCCCTGCTGTGCAGTCTGCTCGTGACGCGATACCGGGCCGTTTGCACAGAATGGATGTGCCCGCGTGTGCTCCCGCCAGCAGAGCCTGAGTCTGTGTTGGTTGCATCTCTGCCACGACTTGGTGTTGTCGGACTTTATTCGTTGCCAGTCTGGTGTCTCGTGCAGGGCTAGCTTCTCGCCCGTTTCTCCATCAGATAAGAAAGCTGAGATCGACATCCTGGCTGCAGAGTACATCTCCAGGGTGAAGACTCTCTCTTCGGACCAGCGGGTGGAGCACCTGCAGAAGATCCAGAGCGCCTACAGCAAGTGCAAGGAGTACAGCGACGACAAGGTGCAGCTGGCCATGCAGACCTACGAGATGGTGAGGAGGCGGCGGCAGGGGTGGGGCCCAGGCTGCTTCCCACGGGCACTCACTCCTGCCTTTCCCGCAGCAACAGGAAAAGCTCCTCAGAGATGGTGCATTGGCCGGGCGCAGTAGCTCCCGCCTGCAATCCCAGCACCCTGGGAGGCTGAGGCCAGAGGATGGCTTGAGCTCAGGAGTTCGAGACCAGCCTGAGCAAGAGTGACACCCCGTCTCTACTAGAAAAAATTAGCCGGATGTGGTGGCTCCTGTAGTCCCAGCTGCTTGGGAGGCTGAGGCAGGAGGATCACTTGAGCCCAGGAGTTGGAGGTTACAGTGGGCTACGATGACGCCGCTACACCCCAGCCAGACGACAGAGCAGAAACCCTGTCTCAAAAAAAAGAAATGGGTGCATCCGTGGTGGAAGTCTGTCTTTGATAGGGGGATCTTCTAGATACAGTATAGATTAGGGATTAGGGATATCCAACACCTGGGACCATGCCTGTGCTTTTTTTTTTTTTTTTTAATGGGCCATTTTTGTCTGTTCATTTGGTTGGGAGAACCAGTTGTCTTTTTATATTTTTCCAGTATTTGGTTTTGTCAGCTTTAGGTAAACTAGATTTTTTGGTCCAGTTTCTTCCCAAGTCGGTTTTACTCGGGGCTCACATCAGGGCACAAAGCCATTGCCCTGTGATGTCCCCGAGATCCTGGAATGCTCGAGGACTCAGTGCTTCCATGTGGGATGTCGATGCCCCAAACTGCCGCATCGCCGGAGCAGGCAGACTGTTTTCTAGAAAGTTAGCTTTGACCAGTTGGCGTGAAGACAGTGACACTCGCCCCGATGCACAGTGAAGTGTCAGACGTGTTTATTCAGACAGGAGGGTGCGGGTGCTGCTCTGCGGACGTGACCTCGCGGTGTTGGCCGATGAGTCAGCTGCACGGAGAGTGGGTTCTCCGTGGGGTCCCTGGGATGGCTCTGCCGGAGCCTGTCCCTCTGAAGTAACATGGTGGTTGTCTCATGCTCAGTGCTTTGACTGTGTTGTCATCTATTTCTTCTTTTTTCCAGCTGGTCCTGTCCTAAAGCAAAGAATTTGCAGTTTTCTTTTTTGTTTTTGGTTATTATTTTAAGAACCAATCTTGTCTTTAAATTTTTGTTTTTTTTAGAGATGGGGTCTTGATACGTTGCCCAGGCTGGCCTCAAACTCCTGGGTTCCGGTGATCTTCCCACCTCAGCTGGGACAGTAGGGTTTGCCTCTGTGCCTGGTCAGGTGTTTAAATTAGGGTTCTGTTACCAAATGTCCCTGCCCCTTACGCTGTGCATCTCACAGCTCTGTTTCTCATCATTGCCTTCTCTTATATTTTTCCCCTCCATAGGGTTTATTCTGTTGACATGTCAAAATATGATGCAGAAAAAAACAAGACCCTTGTATAATCTTTAAAATAGTGGGTCTTGTCTCAGTAGAGCTTTTGTTAATTGAAGACTCAATTAAAGGGTGGGGAAGTGCTTCCTTAGTGCATCGGTGAGCTCTGAGGGGATTTGCTTTGTTTTAAAATAAGACTTTGCGTCTCCTCTTGTAGGTGGACAAGCACATCCGCAGGCTAGACGCGGACCTGGCGCGCTTTGAGGCGGACCTGAAGGACAAGATGGAGGGCAGCGACTTCGAGAGCTCCGGGGGGCGAGGGCTGAAAAGCAAGTCTGTTAATTTTTCCCTCATTTTCTCCCTGTTAACTGTGGGGTTTTGAAGAATGTTGCCAATAAACGTATTAGGAATATTGTGGTAAATACCATATCTGGGCAGATCTTGTCTTGCGTTCCTGATTTCTGTGAAAGTAATTTGGGTCTTTTTTTTTCCAGAAGGTCGGGGTCAGAAAGAAAAAAGAGGGTCCCGCGGCCGAGGCAGGAGGACGTCGGAGGAGGACACTCCAAAGAAAAAGAAGCACAAAGCAGGGTAAGAGGCCCCTTTCCCACAGGAACACACCCCACTAGCGTCTGCGCAGGACGTGGAGACGCGGCAGCCACCCTGGGTGAGCGCTGCCCGGGGGCTGGGGAGAGCTCTGGTTCTGCTCCGCACCTGCTGAGTCGGCCCATCCTCCCGTAGCCTTTGAGGGGCGTGCCGTGGTCACCGGCATGGCGTTTCAGTGTCACAGGGACCTGCCCCAGGCTTGAGAGCTGCTGCCGCAGGGCTGGGCTTGCACTGGGAACCGCCTCCAGCGCCGGCCGGGTCCTCGCAGCCCCGCGTGTGCGGCCCAAGTGGCAGGAGGAGGGTGCGTGTGTGTCGACAGAGCTCAGTCTAAGCCGCTCTTTGAGTGGCTTGAGTCTTTATATATATTCCTCAGTTATTTTATATATAAATATATATTTTGCATATACTCATTGTTAAATTGTGTGACCACATTTATTAAATATACATGTCATTTAACTTGAACTTCTTCGAGATACTTTATTTAAGGCGTTCTCCCGCTGACACCCTTCCCTGAGAAGGGGTTGTAGCGTCTTCGCGGAGGTGACGTTCAGGCTAAAGAGAAAATGGCAAAATGCCACGTAGCCTCTCTGGAGATGGTTCGGGCAGTCGGGGGTCCGAAGAGTTCGCTTTTCTTGACCAAAAAAGGGGAAAAGTTTCAGTTCTTAAACCCGGTGTTTACACTTTTATCTTTAAAAAAAACAGCACTTTCATTGTAAAGTAATAGGCAGATGGAGAAAACCACACAGAACAAACATAGTTTAAGGAATTGTCGTGAGGTGCACATCTTGGTGACCAGCTCGGTTGCGAGAGGCCCGTCTGTGCGTCCCGTCAAAGTGGTGACCTCCTTTCTGTCCCCAAGCACACGTGACCCAGACTGCTGTAGTGTTTATTTCCCGTGGTTTTTATAGTCCGATCTTCCAATCGTGCGTTCCTAGACTCTGTATGTTAGAGTTTCATCTTGTGTTTTTAGCCTTTTAAATTAATTTTATTAAGGAATAATTTGCGTACAGTAAAGTGATATTTTAAGTGCGCATTTTGACAGTGCATCCCGTTTCTTTAAAGTTGTGGAAGTATTCAGGCTGTTTCTTCTCGGTCAGTTTTGGTGATGTGTGTCTTTCAAGAAATTTGTTTTATATGAATCGTCAGACTTTTTTTTTGACATCAAGTTGTTACTATGACGTTACTTCCCTTCGGATGTCTGTAATGACGTCCCCTCTTTCTGCCCTGATATTGGTGCTTTGCTTTTCTCTATTTTTTGTTTGCTGTTGGATTTGTTTCTACTCTATTTCCTTCCTTCTACTGAATATGGGTTTACTTTTCTTTTTCTGGCTTTCTAAGTAGCTTGCATTGTTGATTTTTATTCCTTCTTCCAATTACTGTTCTAGTTGCATTTCACAGATTTTGAGATATTACATTTTTATTTTTGTTCTGCTTAAAATATTTTAAAAATTCCTTTGTGATTTTTCTTTGCCTGTAACTTATGTAGAAGTATGTTTCCCAGTTTCCAAATAATTTGTGATTTTTCAGATAACTTTCTTGATTTAATTTTTAGTTTAACTCTGTTGTGGTCAGAGAACATTCTGTAATTGAAATCCTCTAAAATCAGTTGAGACTTGTGTTTGGGCCCAGTTTGTCATCTGTCTTTACTGTTCCGTGTGAACTCCGGAAGAACGTGTTTTACTGTCGTTGGGTAGCGTGTTCTGTGATGTCAGAAAACTTGGGTGCCGGCATTGCCCAGGTCCCCTGTGTCCTTCCTGTCGTTCTGTTTCCGTGTCCTGTCAGTCTCCGAGGGAGGCGGGTTCAAATCTCCAGTCCTGGTTACAGATGTGTCTGTTTCTTCTCAGTCCTGTCCGTCTCCCAGTTTTTGCTTCGTGTGTTTTGATGCTGCGTTGCTTGGTACGTACACATTTAGGGCTTCTTTTCCTCTCTTTTATCCTGAGGAAACATTTCTTGATTCCCGGTAATATTCTTTGCCTCAAGGTCTGCTTTGTCTGGCCTTGCGATCACTGTAGGCGCGGTGGTGGCACCTGCGTTCCCGGCTACCCGGGAGGCTGAGCGGAGGATGCTCGAGCCCAGGAGTTGGAGGCTGCAGCGATCTGTGATCGCGCCGCTGCACCCAGCCTGGGCTCAGCTCGCAGGTCAGCTTGCCCTTTGCCTTGTTCTTTTCTAACCTTTGTAGAAACTTTCATAAAGGGCCATATCGTAGGTGCTTAGGACTGCAGGCCTACAGCAGTGTCTCTGCCGTGACCACGCAGCTCTGCCATTGGAACTCTGAGAACATCCGTAAGAAATACGTAAATGAACAGCGTAGCTGTGCCCCAGTAAAACTGCATTCGTGGAGACAGGCAGCCGGCTGTGGGCTGCGTTCTGCTAACTCCTGGGCCAGGGCGAGCTTTACCCCAGGGCTGGTCACACACACTGCAGGGGCACGAGCCTTGTGCGGTCTCTTCTGAGTGTCTTGGTGTCTCCTGAGCTCCCTCCACCCGGCTGTCAGAACTCAGGTGTCTCCCGGCCCGTCTGTGAGCTCTGGGAGTCGTTCGCGTCCCAGCTCTCCCGTGTTCTCACCCCGTGCACACACAGACTCCTTGTGCAGATTTGCGGGGTGCATTTTCCCTACAGCTGCCTCTTCCTAGGACCCCGCCCCAAATTCCAGCACCTCTTCCTCCCTGAACGGTGTGTTTTCTCTGCAGTTCAGCGGGACACCGTGCATGTGCAGTCTCCTCTGCAGGTGGAGGGCCGAGGTGGTCGTGGGTCTCTTGTTTATTTACCTTCTTTCGAGATCAGAGTCCTGTGCTACCTTTTGTCCAGTGTCTGAAGACAGTTGTTTCCTGTTTTGTGTTCTAGTTGTTCACAGTAGGAGGGCAAGTTCCTGTTACTGTATCATGGCCAGAAGCAGAAGTCTTTTTATTTTTGTTTTTATTGATAAATGCTTTAAGTCTCTTGTTAAAATTTTTCTAATTTTAATAAAATATTTTTTTTTTTAGAGACAGGATCTTGCTGTATTGCCCGGGCTAGTCTCGAACTCTTGGCTCAAGTGATCCTCCCACCTCAGCCTCCTGCTGGGACTATGGGTGTGAGCCACTGCACCTGGCCACCACTCGCTTTTTTCACATCTCATAATGTGATTAGCAGTCATGTTTTCCTGCTTTTTTCATGTCTTATAATGTTTTTATTGTCTGTCTGATGTTAGGTGTAAAAGAAGAGAAGGGCGTTTCTCTGTCCCCTGCAGCGTGTCTGCTCCCTGTGGTCCACGCGGGTTGAGCTGCGTTATGGGGGGTGGGGCAGGTGGAGCTTCCTCACTTGTCTCGTGGGCAGGCCCCCCTCGGTGGGCACCCGGGACGCCTGGGTCCTGCCTGTCGTGACGGCGCTGTGGGCTCAGTCTGCATGTTGGCGGTGCCTGGCTCTGCTCTGTCACCTCCTGCCCCAGCTGCTTCTATGGTTGACACGGGCTGGACAGGGAGGCGGCAGCTGCGTCTGGTGGGCAGGTCCTGGGGCTGTGGGGGTCCCCGCAGCCCGGGCAGCCCCTGGGCTGGGTGGACGTCTGCGGGGGCAGGGCTGCCGCGTGTGCGGGCTCCCGGGTGTCGGTGGCTGTGCCTGCTCCGCGTGGCCCCCAGTCCCTGGGCCGCCGCTCCCTCCTCTGTGGGGTGCCGAGCCCTTGCTGCTCCACAGCTTCCCACGTCTTTAAGAACGTGGTTTTGCAATTTGTTGGGTTTTGTGTTTTCACTTGTGGCCGCAGTGCTCTGTGTCTCCTGCTCCTTCCCGCTTGGACCCCAAGGCCACAGCCTGGCTGTGCCTCGAGTGGGAGCGGTTCTCGTCACCTCTGCCGCACGAACGAGCTGTCCTCAAGGGCGTCCTCGGCAGGGCGTCCAGACGCCGGGGTCTGTGCAGTGGTGCAGGAGACCCCAGGTCCTTGTGCTGGGAGCTTCCTCCCTGAGGGCCCAGCCGCGCTCTGGGCACTGCGGGAGCCGCTGGCGCGTCTCAGACCTGTCTCCGCAAACGCGTCACGAGCTTTTCCTGCCCTGACGGAAGCTGTGTGTTCCGCACTGTGCTGCCCCTGCTGTTTGAAGGCAGATGAGAAGGAATGGTCGCAGATGGTGAGGACTGCAGTCCCCTGTGGCTAGCGGGCTGCGTCTAGCGCTTCTTTGCGAATCCGTGTCCTCCCGTGTGCCCCTGGGTGGCGGTATGGCTGCTGTCCCGCAGCACAGACGTCAAGATGGGCCAGAGAGGCCCGCTGTGAATCTGGCGCCAGCGTCCAGGCCGCCGAGCAGGCAGCTCGCAGGGACACGGGACGGTGCTGGTGGTCAGAGGGCGTGTCCTGAGAGACAGATGGGTGGACCCCAGCCCTGGGCTCGCTGCGGGGGGTGTGGGCTGGTGTGGCTCTGAGGACAGAGTCCTGCCGCGGGGGTCGGGAGTGCTCTCAGGTCCTCGTCCCCACTGACGTGCGGGTTTCACGGGGCTGCTGGTGACGCTGCAGCTTTGCTCTTCCCTGCTGCTTCCTGGCAGGTTCTCTCTTCCCGTGGAGACTGGAAGGTGCTCGATCCTGCCCCGGGATCTTGCTCACTGCAGGTCCGTGGAGCGCAGAATGGCCAGAGGCCACAGACGCCCCGTTTCCCGTCCGGGAGGTCCCGTGGACTGAGGGCACCATAGCTGTCCTGGCCTTGCTCTCTGGCAGGGCAGGACATGCGTGTGTGGACGAAGGGGGCGTGTCCTCGAAGCCCCTGGGATCCCGACGCTTGGGTGCGCAGCCAGCCGCCAACAGTGCTGCCTGGGCTGCTGGGGAAGCACATGGGGGAGGCGGCTCCCTGGCACTGCCTGGCGAGGGGCCGCTGCACCCAGGGAATGGCATGGAGGACACCTCTGGCCGGTAGGGCCAGCGTGAGTCAGCGAGCTGCCGACAGCTGGCTTCCCCGAGACGTCCTGTCTGCGTCTGGGCACGATAGCACCATCGAGCCCCTCTGGTGGGACTGCGGAGCCAGGTGGTGCCGCCACGATGCCCAGGGCTCCACGCCGGGCTCAGCTGCTGCGCGTGTCCTTCCTAGGGGTCTTCTACCCCTCAGCCCCTCCCTCTGCCCCCAGATCTGGCCAGCGCCCCTGAACCTGGCGGTTCGGATGGATGCGGGTCGGGCGCCCGCTCTGGTGCACGCGTCGGGTCAGGCGCCTCGTGGGCACAGGCGCAGGCTGGCTGCGGTGGAGTCTACAGAGGACACGCGCGTGGAGGGAGACCGAGGACGGCGCTCCGCTGCAGCCGCGGACGTGCAGGGCAGGGCCGACTCCAGCTGGTCACAGGCCACTCTCGGGACAAGCACAGAAAACAGCTTCCTCGGCTGAAGGGCCCCTTGCGACTGCCGCCTGGCGCAGCATTGGCAGAGACCCGGACTCGGACGCGCTCTGTGACACTGACGACGTCGGCGTGAAGCGCAAACCCCGCCATTCCCACACAGGGGTGGAGCGGAGGGCGGGTTGCTGACGGGAGAGCCTCAGACGGGCCCGGTGGCCCCGGGTGGCAGCTGAGCCGAGGACGGGCCCGGTGCGTCGCTGGGCCCGAGTGCAGCACACGCCTGCGGTTGCAGGGAGCCTTCCGATGGGCACGCGGGGGAAAGGAGGCGTCGTTCCCTCCGGGCCCAGACTTCTCTTCGTTTTGCCCTGGTGGTGACGGTCTGTCCCCCCAGGCCAGGTCCCTGTGCGAACCTGTGTCTTCATAGGCAGATATGTATTCTTGGGCTGGGGGTGGGTAAGGGAAGATTGTTCTCTCTGCACTGATGGGAACGTACCGTCCATCCTGCCCTGCAGCTTGCAAGTTCATTTGAAAAATCCCAAAATATGAAAGAATAAATCCCCCTAAGTGCACCCATCCCTTTCACACCGGCAAAAGTCTCCACCCAGGTCCGAGGTGTTGCCGGTGGCGGCCGCCGTGTTGCGGGGCAGCGGGTTTGGGGGGAGCCGGGCAGGGCGGAATTTCAGCTGTTGGGAATCGGACGAAGCTGTGGGAATGCAGGGGCGCCAGCGGCGGCGTGTGGTCAGGAGTGGCCCCCGCTGCAGGGCCTGGGGGTGGCGGTGACGGCTCCAGGGAGGGAGCGGGGAGCTGCTGGTTTGGTGGGTTTGGGGGCAGAGGTCCCGAGTCGGTGCGTGGTGGGCCTGGGCATGGGACGCGGGCTGTTCTCGGGGGAGGAGGGCGTGTCCAGCGCGGTGACTGCGCCGGCCGCCTGGCGGCTGGGCTGGTCTCGGTTGGGACACAGGTTTCTCTGAGATGCCAGCTGTCTGCTGGTGGGTAGTGAAGTCTGCCGGCCCCGGGGCGGCGGGGGCCTTGGAGAGACACCCTGAGGGGAGGGGCACCCGGAGGCCTCCCCGAGGGACCGAGGCCAGGGTGGATTCGTGTGCCCAGAGTGAGACGGGCCTGACGCTGTGCGGTGAGTGCTGCACTTCGCAGCCCCCAGGTGCCCGTGGGCCCTGCCCGTGCCCGGTCCGAGTGGCGGTGGGGGCGCTGCGCCTCCACCCCTGCTGCCCTGCTGTTTCTAGACTTTTGTGGTAAATGGTATTCTAGTGAAATCTCTTACGCTAACACTTTGCTCACATCTTACTTGTTGCCCAGGCTGGAGTGCAGTGGTGTCATCACAATTCCCTGTGACCTCCAACTCCTGGGCTCAAACGATCCTCCTGCCTCGGCCTCCGAGCAGCTGGATGACAGGCATGGCCAGCACGCCCGGCCACGTCTTATTTTCTTACTGTAAATTCTTAGGAGAGCGCTGCTCGGTCAGAGGGGCTGTTGAGGGTTTGGTGGAAAATGTTGACTCAGGAGGAAAACACCCCTGCAGGGCGCGCTCCGTGGGTGCACGTCTTCAGTGACGGGCTCCGGGGATTGTTGATACATCGCTTTCTAAAGGAGAAAAACGGAAGCATGTCATTCGTGATGGGTAGCTCAGAGCACGTTACGGGTTTCCCCCTTGGAAAAATCACCCTCTTGGTTTTGGAGTGAGGGAGCCTTGACCCAGAGGCAGACGGGCCGGAGACGCGAGCGCCAGCCTCGCCGCCCGCCGTGGCCCCGCACGCCCCGCCCTGCCGCTGTGCCCTTCAGTGGTGTCTGTGCCCCCGCCAGGTCGGAGTTCACCGAAACCATCCTGTCTGTGCACCCCTCCGACGTGCTGGACATGCCTGTGGATCCGAACGAGCCCACGTACTGCCTGTGCCACCAGGTCTCCTACGGGGAGATGATCGGCTGCGACAACCCAGACGTGAGTGTCCGGGGCTGTCACAGGCGGCGTCGCCTGTGGGATGCATGTGCTTGGGCAGGGTCTTGTGGGAGGGGCTGGGGGTGCAGGTGTTTGCTGTGCTTCGCGTGCAGAGCACGGGCGTTGACTGCGGCTTTCCCTTTGCCTTGCAGTGTCCGATCGAGTGGTTTCACTTTGCCTGTGTGGACCTCACCACGAAGCCCAAAGGGAAATGGTCAGTATGGGGGGACCCGCTCCGTTTTCTTCCAGCCTGTCGGCCCTGGGCCGCTGGCCTCCCCCGAGAGAAGGCCCTCGGTTGCTGGACCTGGGCTGTGCGGCTGGTGCCGCCTGGCAGCAGCTGGGCACGGTGGGACCCAGTTGTGCGTGCCTCCTGCCGCGCCTCGCGGGCAAGGCTGGCTGCGCAGCCTCCGTGGATGCGACTGTGCTGCCCCCTGACCCCTCAGCACTGGTCCCGGTGCCTGGGGCTGAGCTTGCAGAGGGACGTCTGCTGCCCACCTCGCCCAGGACTGTGTGTGTTACGTTTGTGTGATGCTTACATTTACGTCATCTTCCTAAAAACCAGCGCTCCTGACTCTCGAGCAAGGCGGAGATCCCTTAAATGAGACGTGAGGGTTCTTGTCCCCGAGGGGAGTTTTGAGGAGAGATGAGATTGAACACGAAGCCAGGGTGTGGGCCACGGCTGTGCGGAGGGCTGTCCCTGACGGGGGCCGTGCCGGCGTGAGCCGTGCTAGTTCCTTGCGTTCAGCTGGTGACGGCGACAGCTGGCACCAGCTTTCCTAGGATTTCATTTAAATAAAGACCAAACTGGTTTTGTTTATTTGTGCTAAGAGTGGACATATGTTCTGAAAACAACATTGTAGGAACGCTGCTTCTTTAGGTCAGCACCCAGAGGTTGTCATGGTAACTTGGTTGAAACTCCCTCGGACCAGTCCGTGGTTGGTGAGAGCACGTTATCCTCGCGTTCGTGGTGTGAGGACAGCGGTGGGAACGGAGGGGCAGCCACCGTGTGGGGAGGGCTCCCTGTGCATCCAGCTCTCTGACGTCACATGATGTTGCCACAAGCCTGTCTTGTGGGCACAGATGACACCTTGCAGCGCCCTGTGCGCCGAGGGACCGTGCACCTAGAGCTCTGAGCAGGGACATGCAGGTCCCCGGCCGTGCCCCACCGCAGGCGGACGTGATGGGCGGGGGCTATAGGTGGGCATCGTGACAGCTGAGACCCACGCGTGGCTCCGCTGGTAGGACGTGGGATAAAGAATAGGCGTGTGTGGCTCGGGCTGGGGTGTGGGGCAGGGAGGTCTGATTCGCGATTGCATTTGGACGAGTTCGAGTTTGCAGGACTTGCAGTGGGAAGTGTGGTCGGCCCTGGGAAGAGGTGGGGCTGTCCCGGTCACCGTGAGCCGGGCCAGGGGCAGGACATGGGTGCGTGGAGGGACGCGGTGGTTTCTTTGTGTCTTTCCGTAGATCACTAAGTGTTCAGGCTTCTCTCCTGTTTCCTAAGAGTTGAACTCTTGGCGGACACACCGTTGCAACGTAGGCCTGCGTCCTGGGGCCCCCGGTTCTTGGAGAGCGTTAGGGCTCGTGCCTGGTGGGAGTAATGTTTGTGTCCGTGGCACGCAAGTCAGCTGCCTCCTGTCCCGGGAACCTACTAGAATGTCCCCTTGTGTCATGAGCGGCTGCTGTTGGCTAGGACTGTTCAAGAGCAGCCCCCGTGTCTGAGGTTGTGGAACTTGCTTGGCCCAGAATCGTCAGGGAGCCCTTGTGAAACAGGCAGTTTCCACAGCCCAGCGCGGGGCTGCCAGGGCCCGGGGTCCGTCGGCCTGCCCGGCCCACCCCGTGCGTGTGAGCTCTGCACCAGCCGACCCCGCAGACCGCAGCCACGGTGGGCAGCAGCGGCCTGGTGGCAGCCAGGGGAGAGCGTCCGCTTGGTGGAGAGGATGCGCGTGTGAGAGCGGAGGGCCCGTTGGTGTGAGTCTGTCAACCTCAAAGCGGGCGCCGTGGACAGAGCGACCTGCACCGCAGCCTCCGCGGCAGGCAGGGCCGCGCGGCTGTGCCCGCGCTGTCCGGTGCTGTCTCACCAGCGTCCGGCAGCTCTGGGGGACCTGGGTGTCCCGAGTGCTGGGGGAATGGCGCCAAAGACGTCACTCACTGTGCCTTTCTCGCCACAGGTTCTGCCCGCGGTGTGTCCAGGAGAAGAGGAAGAAGAAGTAAGAAGCCCTGCGCCCGGGTCAGAAGAGCACGTCGCTGTGTTCCCTCATTCACGTTGCAATATTTCCTCCATTTTAAAGCTACCTTGTACGATGGGTATTTAAGAACTCAACGGCCAGTTGTAACTGATGTTTCCTAGGACAAGAAACCACCAAGCCCTGTTTGCACAGAGCAGTGATCTTACAGGGACTTGGTGCAGTGACTTCATTCCTGTGACGTTTTATACAGACCCCCCCCCAGCGCCGAGCGCGCAGGCGCTGAGCGAGCCCGAGGGGACTCGGTGCCAGGCGCAGCCTCGGCGGGGCGGAGCCTTTTTAACCTGGTACACTGCCACCACTTTGCGGCTTGAGCCGTCAGCCTCGGGTAGTCTGTGAGTCGTTTCCCGGGACTGTTCTGTGCAGCACGGGGCTCCGCGCACCCTGACGCTGCTGTGAGCACACCCGTCGCGCGCGTGCGTGGGGCCGGTGCCTCCATTGCTGGGCGGCCCCTGCACGCTCAGCTCCGATGCTGATTCCGGCGACCGGGGACCGTGGCGAGGACGCCCCTGACGTGCCCGGGAAGGACTCCTCTCGGGAGCAGGCGGCCTCAGCCTCGCCGCGCACTGCCTTTCCTGTTCGGACTCCGGTCCTCCCGCGGGGCTTCGCCTTCCAGAGGAAACGGCTCTTTGTCAGCAAATGGCTGTCCATGACCACTACCAGCACGAGTAAGAGACAGTGTGACAGCCGGGCTGACGCTGCGTTTCTCTGGGAATTCCTGGCGTTTTTACTGTGAAGATGAGGTTATTGTGATCGCATGAAGATTGTGGGTCTGTGTGTCTGTGACGTGAGTCCCGTCTGGTGGGAGCTGGCCACACGCTGGGGCGCGTTGCCCGTCAGCAGTGTGTCCAGAACTGCCACGCGTGACACGATTTGTGAATTTGTGGTGCCGCAGTAGTGCTTCCGCAGTGAAGTTAGGAAACTAGAGTGTACTTTTTGTTTAATCAGCATTCACCAAACGATTTCGAATCATCTTTTTGGTAACAGGTGGGGAAAACGCACACATTGGTCTGAGATACGTTTGTGTGGGCGCGTCCTTAGACTCAGAAACCGTCTGGCGTGCGTGTGGAGGAGGTAGAGGGTCCCTCAGGAACAAAGGGAAGCCTGTTCTGTCCTCACACCAGAAGAAGAACCCGTGAGAACTGAGGCGTGAAACTCCCAGTTTAGGAAAAGGCTCGTCTTCACGAGGTGGGCCTTCTGGCGTGGGGGGCTGGTTCCTTCTGACGGCCACACACGCCTTCCCTCCTGCTCCCTAGCGCGTCACCGGGACAGGGAATGGCGCGCAGAGGAACTTGTGAAGCGCGGGGGTCTGGGGCCACGCCCCGCAAAGCTCTGCTCGGTGAGTGAGAACAAGCACGTCAGAGCACAGGCTTGGCCGGGCCGGCCCGGACCCATCCTCGGCAGGGCGCAGGCCACACAGGCCACCTGCCCTGCCCCGGCGCGAGTGAGGGCGTGGGCTTGCTCTCGGGCCTGGGTGGGTCCGTGGGCAGGTGCTGCAGCTCGTCCCTGTCGGGCCCCAGGCCTGACGGAGCTTCCCGGAGCCGGTGCCTTCCCGCCGCTCAGGAGGAGGAGGGAGGCCGGCCCCAGAGCACCGGCCACACCGCATCACACCTCAGTCTCAGCCACGGCCGTGGAACTAGCGACGTGGCTTCTTTCTTTTTTAATAGCAGCTTTTTATTAACATGGGTGTTTGAATACTGTGGAGAGTAAATTGTGGAAACATTTTTTTCTCCACTCTTTTATCATTTTTTTGTGGAGAGCGATGGGTAAGTATGGAGAACTTGTAACGAGACGGTGCCTGAAGATTCTGTAGCAGCTAATTTAACATTCGCCTTCGGACAGTTCACACGTGTGGCGGTCACTGGGGAGAGGTGTGTCTGTCAGTGTGGCTCCTGGCGCCGAGTAGGCCCTTGCGCGGGGCTCGTTCGACCTGCTCGTCAGCGTGCGGCACTCCTGTTGCTTCTGGCCTCGTTTTAAAGTTTCTGTGCTTACGTGTTTTTAGTGTTTACTTTTGCCATTTAGGATAATATCACCAAAATAATGTGCATATTGCTTTGGAATAAACACGGAAACATGAGCAGAATAGGAGAGTTCCTCGGAATGTCGTTTGGATGCTGACTGACTGAATGCCTTTCTCGATTGTTGGTCTGCGAGTGGGAGGACACTCAGGAACGGCCCTTTGGGTGGAGAAGAAGGTCCTGCCGCCTGGCCCGCTCCGCCCCGCGCAGGGACGGCAGGAGGGGTGCTGCTTGCTCCGTCCCCCGCGTCGCCTCGTGATTCGGGGGTTTAGTCTTGGACCAGAGCCCCCTCCACACCTGCCTGGCTCCAGACTTGGCCTTGGAGGTGGCCGTGCAGCCAGCCCCGTCCGTCTCCTGGGCCGAGGGGTCTGGGCTGGACCCAGCGGGTCGCTCTGGCAGCTTTATCTGAGCCGAGGACGTGGCTCCTCCGGGCCATGGGTTTACCTGTAGGGGAAGGAGCGCTTTGCGCAGGGGAAGCAGAGTCCCTTTCCTTGTGCTCAGTGCTGGCGGCAGTAGCGAGCCGAGGAAGTCCCCTGGTTTCCCTCTAGGACAAGGCATGCTGCATTTTAAAAAAGGTTTGTTAGACTGAGTCCCTCAGATCTGTGGACCTGCCGATGCTGCTGCCAGGGACGGACGCTGAGCTGAGGTCCGCGTGACCCTGAGCAGCAGCTGGCCGCCTGCCGCTGCGGTCGGGCCCCTTGGGCAGGCAGACCCGGGACCAGTGTAGCCAGGGCCGGGGGGCCGGGAGTCTTCTAGCAGGCCTGGGCAGCCAGAAGCAGCTGTGGGGGCAGTGGTGGTGGGAGGGCTTGTTGGGACGGAGGGACAGCGGCCAGCTCTGTCCCACTCCCGTCCCAGCAGCCGTGCTGCACTTGGCCTCCTGACCTGTCCGGGAGAGGCCGCGGCAGGGGCTGCTCCGAGCAGTAACTGTCCCAGAGCATCTTCCCCACAGCCACAGAGGCAGGAGGCTGCCTGTCGTGGGACGGGGAGGTCAGGTCTCCACGGGTTAGAGTGACACCATGAGGGACATTTATTACGGGCATGAAAGATGTAAGGTTTTCCTGAATTTTTAGTGGACAGTGACTGGTCTTCATTACCTGTGCTGAGAGGAATTTTAAAACAGGGGAAGTGTAAGAAAAGTGTTCCCATTCAGGAGATAGTTTTATGAAGTTTCTTTCTTCCTATGTGTGTATTTTGTGGTGTTCACCTTTAACCACATTTCATCCAAAAAGATGAGCAGCTTTAACATGAATGTTACGTTTTATTTTCAAGGAATTATCTATGTTCCCTTTGTAAAGGAAAGATAATATTGTAAATCTTTTTATTAAATAATGTAAAGATGTATATCTGTATTTTTGGATCATGTTATAGATTATGGATATATTGTTTAATAAATAAAGTATTTTTTGGAACAAACGTTTGAAAGTACATCATTTTGGGAAACAGGTGTACAATTTCAGTGTTGTGCCCAGAGATAAGCA